AGTAGATTAAGAAGTGTTGATTTTCTGTTTACAGATAGCAATGAACCAGTGTTTGTCACTCATGGTGCTCAGCAACAATGTCAAATTAATTCAAGTGTACCATCTAGCTCCACTACTACTCACTTGGTGCCTTCAATAAATAAACAACATCATGTTAGAAACTTGGACTTTGCTGCCGACAACTCATTCAGTGAACGAACTGAGAGTCTCAGTTCTCCCTCGATCACTGCTTCAAAAAACAAACAAACAAACAAACTAAAAAGAAAAAGGAGAAGAAATGTTGGGAAAGATAAATCTCAGAAGAGATCAAAAAAATCAGCAAGTGGTGATGGAAATGAAGACAGACAGCAAGAAAATCCGGAACAAGGATTTGTTAAAATTAATCGATCAGGAAGCATGCTGGGAAGATGTTGTCAAGACGATGCAACCAGTATGAAATTTTCATCTCAAGAGTTAGAGAGTTCTAGTTCAAATATTGTAATGCAAGAAAATACAAACACTGTGTCACAGCTGGTGATGCCTGATATGGTGACATCATCTCAGACGATTGCCAATTCCAAGTCACACTTGGTTATGCAAGGGAGTATTAAAACTTCATCACAAATGGAAACACCCAGTACAATGACGTTGTCTCAGCACATAGCCAGTCCAAGGCAAGTAAATACAAACACTTCATCACAAATGGAAACACCCAGTACAATGACGTTGTCTCAGCACATAGCCAGTCCGAGGCAAGTAAATACAAACACTTCATCATCAATGGAAACAGCCTGTACGATGGTGTTGTCTCAGCCCGTAGACAGTCTGAGGCAAGTAATTACAAACACTTCATCACAAATGGAAACACCCAGTACAATGTTGTTGTCTCAGTCCATAGACAGTCTGAGGCAAGTAAATACAAACACTTCATCACAAATGGAAACATCCAGTACAATGATGTTGTCTCAGCACATAGCCAGTCCGAGGCAAGTAAATACAAACACTTCATCATCAATGGAAACAGCCTGTACGATGACATCATCACATCCTTTCAATTTTAATTCAAACCTTGTCTTGCAAGGAAACACTTTATCACAAACATCCAGTGTGATAGCACCAGCCCAGCAGATAGCCAGCTCTAGACCAAATATGAACTCAACCCAACATGTTGTTATTCCTGGAATGCACCGAACAATCAAGCCAATTATGCGTTCTCATCCTGTGAACCAAATGTTGAGCAACTCATTATGCATTCTACAGAAACCAATATCAGTGTCTACATGCCCAACTAAACAGACATGTACAAACACACCACGTACATTACAGCCACGACCTATATTACGAGCACAAACTTCACATCTATCTTCATTACTACCAAAGGCAACACTAAATTCAACGTCCCAGTCATCACATCTTATAAATCCCATCTCATCACCATTGCCACAACAAGTGATTCAAATCACATCACCGTTACCACAGCAAAAGAGACAATTGCCATCATCATTACCACAGCAACAGGAACTATTACCATCACCTTTACCAAGACAACAGGAAAACTTTTCATTGTCACATCAGGGACCAGCTCCATTACAAATTTCACAGCAACAGGGACTAGTACCATCAACATTGCTACAGCAGAGACATGTGCAATCACCATCACCACAACAAGAACATGTGCGACCATTGTTACCACAGCAACAGAGACAAGTGCCATCACCTTTACCACAGCAACAGAGACATGCAGCACCGCCATTACCACAACAGAGACAAGCAGCATCAGTGTTACCACAGCAACAGAGACAAGTGCCAACACCATTACCACAGCAACAGAAACAAGTGCCATCACCATTACCACAGCAGCAGAAACAATCAGCATCACCATTACCACAGCAACAGAGACAAGTGCCATCACCATTACCACAGCAACAGAAACAAGCAGCATCACCATTACCACAGCAACAGAGACAAATGCCATCACCGTTACCTCAGCAACAGAGACAAATGTCATCACCTTTACCTCAGCAACAGAGACAAGCAGCATCACCATTACCACAGCAACAGAGACAAGTAGCATCACCATTACCACAACAACAGAGGCAAATGCCATCATCATTACCACAGCAACAGAAACAAATGCCATCACCGTTACCACAGCAACAGAGAAAAATGCCATCACCATTACCACAACAGAGACAAGCAGCATCCCCATTACCACAACAACAGAGACAAATGCCATCATCATTACCACAGCAACAGAAACAAATGCCACCACCGTTACCACAGCAACAGAGACAAATGCCATCACCATTACCACAACAGAGACAAGCAGCATCACCATTACCACAGCAACAGAGACAGATGCCATCACTATTACCTCAGCAACAGAGACAAGTTCCATCGCTGTTACCACAACAGAAACAAGTGCAAACAACATTGCTACAGCAGAGACTTG